TGGAGGGCGATTCTATGCCAAACATGGACCTCCCCATCAGATAGTTTGTTCGAAAAGAACATGTTTAAGATAGGGAGGAGAGCCGTCCTGCGGGCCATCTGGAGGAGACGCTGCATACATGCCATGGAAGGGGTTGGCATAGCCGGGGAATGAGGGACATGGTCAAACAATATATACAGCAGGATGTTATGGCACAATGGCAGTCAGCTGGATCTGTTCCAGACACAAAAAGACATAAAACAAAAAATCGAACAATTTTCAGGGGACTGGCTAGGCAGTGAGAAGGGAGGTCGGATCACCTTCATCAAGTGGGACGGTGACTGCACCCAGGAAGGTAACGAAGGCATTGATGATGGTGATCCAGGGACGATCGATAGAGATTATCATATCTGTTTCAAAGACTGGAGAACGGTGGATTCAAGAATTCCGTCGCGGCCTCCCTCGGACTTTCCCCCCATCAGCCGACCATGGTAGACATGCAATGGTATGGGGTGGTATCAGTAGGCCAGCAGTGTCAATAGAAGGGGTACCTCAAAGGCAGGGGGTGGGAGGAACCATGGTGTGGTTCCCTTCCCCCCCCCCTCCCAACATCGTGCTCAGTCAATCCCCTGGACCGCAGGGTAATCAATGCTGCCAGGAATATCCCACAACTCGTTTTCTGATGTGATTCAAATTCTGTGCACGTAAGGGACGCTGGACCCGTTTTCCAACAGGTTTTGTTCCCCACCAATAGATGGAGCCCTCCCCAGGTGCTAGCCGTGTCTGCTCTTATCAGCACCACTAGCACTGATGGATGCGTGTTAAAAAAAAAAGAAAAAAAAGATTGTGTTGCTTGCAGCGCAGCTTGAGGAGAGAGCAACTGCAGCATTCTACCACAGCCAGTGTGAGCTTGCTGTTCACTGGACAGTTTCTCGAGCCTGTTGTTGCATATTGGTCACGAAGGCAGGGCAATCGATTCCACATCACGTTTTTTCTGGTTTCATTGAATATTTTGGGAGCGATTTTAAAACGCCTACTGTCTGTGGAGGTGCAATCAAGTATGATCTCATCTCAATAAAGTGCACAAGTGATCCAAGTACTTTAGACACAACTTGGACCACATCAGCAACATCTTCACATCACCACGTGGCACGTTAGCGCAGTATCATACCCCTGGCCACTAGCTATCTGTTGCTAGACCTTGTTTTGTGCGGAATTTTAATATAAGTGGTGCATGACGGAGGGGATGGGAGTAAGGTTGAGATTTTGGTGGGGGGGGGGCGGGGGGGAAGAAGCTCCCAAGGTTGTGTAATTGGTGGGTGATATGGTCACAAACAAGGACAAACTGCACACGTCAGGAGTTGCAGCGACCTTCAAGGAAAGAGAAGTCTGTGCAGGCAAGTGTCATGATGGTGACTTTCGCATAGATTGTGGATGCTGAGCTGCAGAACAGAAGGATGACTTAGTGGCAAGGCTAGGTGCCTTAGATGCCCAGATTATGGTGGCTGACGATGAAATGTGGGAGAAAAACAGGTTGCCTAGGAGAAGAACATGGAGGTTGGGAACATCATAGTCTATGTTGCAGGTATGGATAATGATGTAGAGGTTGGTGATAGACTATAGTGTCCAAGCACGAGACCTAACAACTTTTGCATGGGCAGATTTGGTGAAGGCCCGCCGTTGGCTTCTCCTTTGCCACAACAAACTTCGGCAAAACCTTCCAGCTTGCGCAACGAAAACAATCAGCATGCTCTTCTTTTTTTTTTTTTTTTTTTTTTTAAA